TCCCTTGTGCTTGCCTGGAGATGACTTAGAGCTGGTATTGTCAGTACGTGCACAGTGTCTGCACCTCAGGACCTGGCTGTGTCACCAGCTGATCTGCAGATTTACAAACCTCTGTCACCACAGTACAGAGCTGTCCCTTCAAGTCAGCCTTCTGAAGTGAAGTGCACAGTCCATCACAGGGCTCATTTTGGGAGCTGAGTAGGAAAGGAAAGGTGAGATTCTGTCTTCTTGTTGGGATTTCTTCCCCTTGACCACCCCCCCTCCCCATTTTAATGTGGCAGGTGAGATCCTTATTTGGAGTGTGAACTACTCCCCTCCTGAAGAAGTTAATAATGAAATAATATTCAGTCATCTCCATTACTGCTTGGAATTTTGAGGCAGGTTTCCTCTTCAGCTAGACTCCTAAAAAATGCCTTGTCAGACACAATCTGTTTCATATGCACAGGGTTGCTGATTGATCATATTTACAGTGGGTTGAATGCTGTTGTCCCAAAATGAGAATGACACCAGTGGGTGGCTAAGCTAAGGCAGAAATCTGAGTCAATGTCTTCCTGAAAAAGTAGAGTTTAGAAATTGTGGTCGAGTGTAAGGCTGTGTCCCTGCCAAGCAGCAGTTGTGCTGGAGTCTGTTGTCACAGCCCCAGATATTCCTGATGAATAGTGTGCAAATTGGCTGCTAATTATACATGTGTTAGTGTGTGCATAAAAATTGCATGTTGACATATGGATTCAGGCACCTAAACACTGTTTCAGCTGCATACCCATTTATACTTTTTATGCATTATTTGTGTCCAGGGAAGTATATGTTTCTGGCTCTTGAGCTGGAAATAGGAGAAATAGGGAATTGTTTTTCTGTCCAGTGTACAATGCTATTCTTTTGATAGGAATCAAAATTAAATAAGGAAGATCTATCTTCTTGTTTTTAAATCTGTGTGTTTTCATTGCCCTTGATGTAAGATAAATACATAAGTAATTCTCCAGTTATGCTGCTTATCCTTAGCAAAAGACCATGCTGTCACGAAGCTTTTGTGGGGAGCAACTCATAAATTGAACAGGGTTCTGTGGGAGCAGTAGTTAAGCATTTATCACATTTAATTTGAATAATAAATGTAAAATATGAAAATACATTCTTGTGGCTGTTTGAAAGATATTCTCTTTTTTCATTTTAAAATGAGATTCAGAGAAGAGTAAAAACTTGAGAAATAGACTCTGCTTTCTCAGATCCTTGATAATTTTGAGAAAACATGGCCTGAGGGATGACCACATTTTTCAATAGTGTCAGTCCTGGAAGTATAATTAGCAAATAGCTGTTTGCCTGTAACTCTTTGCCTCTGGGTTTCTGAAAGCTCATATCTTCCTTGGGTACCAATTCTAAGGGAGTGGGGTTGTGGAGTGTTTACTGCTCTTTAACACGTGCATATGTTTGGCAGCTCTGCGAGGAATTACTGGAGAGTGGGGAAAAAAAGAAAATTGAACCTTTTTAACTGATCAGACTTCTGCCACCAAGCTTGCAAGATCATATATTTAAATACATACTTTGAAGAACAGAGACAGTTATGAGACAGTTAGAACTTGTTAGTTGTACTTGAATAGCTATGTCTCAGCAGTTTTGAATTGACTGTCTTGAGGATTTTGGTTCACTTACATTTTACTTGAGAGTCTTTCATGCATCTCAGACACTACAGTCACATGACTGATATGTGACCTATGCCATAAAGATTCTGTGAAAATAAATTCAGATTGCGATCTTGAGCTGGGAAAAACCTGCAGACTGGAATTGGTATGAGATTTGTATTTCATAGTCTGCCATGTGTAGTCTGTCTTTTATTGAAGCTCTCCACCAAAGTTTCCTGCATCTGGTAACACCAGGTGACAGTTGTGTCACCGAGCCAGCTGTGGATAAGGAGCTATTAGGCAACTGTGCAAACACAGCACCAAGTAAAATAGCCTTCCCTCAGTTTTGTTGCAGTTTCTCATTGCCATAACTGGCAAGGGTGGCAGAGATGTTGTCCATGTTGGTCCTATTAATGCTTTTCACTTTAGCAGGTATCGAGGTGGGCAGCTTCTTGAGAAAAATACTTGGAGCATTTCTTAACTTTTTGGAGGTGGTCATGAATAGATTTTAAAGCTTTAGGATGCTCAAGTGACAAGACAGTTTAACTTGTTTCTTATTTATCGATTTCCATATGTGTGAATGTAGCACTTCCTGACGCATATGAGAAGAAGCTTCCTGCCCAGGAGGGACCGTCACCTTTCTTGACCTCTTCTTTTTTAATATGCGCTCATCTCCTCTTGTGCCCTGGATTTAAACAAGAAGCAGTGTGCTTGATTGGGCAGTGCCTGCCTGGCTGATGAGCTCTCCTGCAAAATGTCTGGAGTAAATCTACCTGAGTCATGACTTACAAATAAATTCATATAGCACAGTACATGCAAATTAGCTTCATCTTTGCTGCTGTGTTTTATTATGGGCTGTGCAGGAACATGAGTTTGGTTTTCTGTGGAAGAGTGTAACTGCATCCATAGAATTCTTTATTTCCCATCCTCTTAATTTTACATGTTGCCAGAACTAGTGGCTGTAGCCCTGGTGAGGCTGTAGCTGCTGGTACAGTCACTGCTGTACTCTAAAGCAGGGCAAAGCAGCCCCGTGTTTGGGACTGGTAGATTTGACTCCTTGATATCCCTTACCTTCAACAGAGCTGGTGGGGAAGGCAGAGATTCTTCTGGAGGTTTAACCATAAACCAGCCTCTCATTTATTTCTAGCTAGGGTATTGATTAATTTCAGCGGGAGAAAACTGGAGAGTGCAGAACTACTTAATTTTTATCAGTTTGCAAATATCATGTAGTGCAAATGGGAATTGGGGCTGGTGAATTTCTCTGCTCAGCTGACAACCTCCTAGTGTTGCTGCAGCTGCCTTAGATGTGCAGGCAGGGCATTTCTGTCCATCTCAATGCCTTTGGCTTGGACCTTTTTTGGGTTTTATAACCAGGAAAGGCTGCAACATTAATCTTAATTAAAGGGCGATGATGATTTATTCAGCTGGGCTGACTGGTGTGCTTGTATGCACAATGCCTTTCCCAGTGGGTTTTAGGCTAAACCATAGGAACAGAGAACTACTGTAGTAAAACTGCAGGAAAATGAGTAGCATGTATTGATTTGATACCTGGAGAGGAATTGGGCAAAGAAGCAGTGGATATATGCAATGTGACGTGCACCTCCTTCCAAGTCCCTGCTGTTCCACCAGCACAGCGGGTTTGCTGTTAGTGGCAACACTGACAAGGCACTAGTTAAAGCTGTCATTGTTTTCAGAATCCAATTTTTCAAGAAGTTTGCATTATTTAGAAAGAAAAAAAAATTCCTGAAGCTGGCAAAACAGCCTTTCTAGCTGGAAAAGACATGGAATGCCTATGCTTAAAACCATAAAATAGTGTGGGTTGGAAGAGAGCTCAAAGATCATCTCATTCTAACACCCCTCTTTTTAGCTCTTGGTAAGCACTTTGAACAAAGTTTACAGTATCATTTGATGTCATGTTGAAAGTGGCTTTTGTGGGGTGTTTTAATCTAATTGCTTCTTTTTGATAGAGAATTTACAGACTAGAATATCCTTAATTGAGTCCAGTTTTTAAAGCTAAACGAGCAACCTGTAGTTTCACTTTTTCCCTGTGTTCAGCCTTAGTTTCAGTTAAGCTTATTTTTTGTCTTCTGTAACTTAAGACACAAATAAAACCGTTAGACACTTGAATAATTACAAAACTTGAGGTGAAGAGTTTTTTTAAAAAAAAAACAACTTAGCTTCAAAAAGATCTGCCCATAATGTTGGATTAATTTCTCCTGTGCAGCCCCTGATGTTGATGGTTTTGGGCAGGACTATTCATGTCTGTGTCACGTCACTTAACCCAACTATATTTGCCTGTTTTGATTGGTAACACCATGTATTCATCTCAGAAAATGCACAAGTGATACACATACATCAGCCTGGAGCAGGAAGGTTGAACCCTGGACATCTGGGTTTAGGAGAATGTGAGTCTTTTGGTCAAATTAAATCCTCAAGGACATTGATGCTGAAGGTGGAGGAGCTGACTTGCAAATGTGCTCCCTTCATATTCTCACAATCTGACCATCTGGAGCCCACTGGTGGGATCGCTGCCTGCAGGGTGGGGTAACTTGTTCACCCTTAGATTTTATGTTATAGGTGTATTTTTTAGTAACTTCTAAGTTTTCAAACACCCTGGTTGTTTTGATGACCTCCATCTCTGCTCAGCTTCTTTCCATTGCCTTGTGTGTCCCAGGATTCCCTTCATGCCCTTTTCTTTTCCACATGTAAAAAGACTTCTGGCATTTATACAGTCTGCTTTGTAGGTGCAGGTTTTGTTTCTGAGCCTCAGTGACTGTGGTGCTTGGAAATAGCTGAATTTGAATGAAGTGCGTGCCTGGGGCTGTGTGTTCTGACTTCATTGGCTTAGTCCCTTCTTTAAAGGCTGCATGATGGAACACCGGGGTTGCAGGAGCTGCCTTTTGTTTCTTCACATCCACTGTGGACATATTTTCCAGCCTGGTTGGAGTAAGGCATGATCAAAATCAGTTCTGTAATTAAGGAAATGTTGAACCTCTTGTGTGTGTTAGGCAAATGAGCTAAAGCTTTTAGCCAAGCTATTAAGTGTTAAGGTTTTACTGTAAGGTGAATGGAAGCTAGATAATTTCTCCAGCTGAGCTTCCCTTAATCATTCCATTAGCACGAATTCAGTACAGTGCAGAAGGGAAGCAGCATAGCCTGATGGATAAAATTATTATAATATTATTATTATTGAAGAATTTGCAGTAAGAATAAGCAGTAAAGGCCAGCTGAGGTTATGGTCATAATTTGATATGAGTTTTACTTCATGACAGTCACTCTGCTCTGGAACTGTTGTGATTTAAATAGAGTAAAAGATGCAGTGGAAAAACAAACTTGTTTGCATAGATCCAGAGCTGAGATGCAGAGAGATTAAATGCTGTGTCTTCCATGTGGCCAGTGGAAGCTGAACAAGGCACTGCTGTGAGTGTGACACGGTGTGGGCACTGGGAAACATGAGCCCTGCTCCACTTTGGAAGGGTGGGTGGGAGAGGGTTGTGCCTAGTGCTCTAATGTGGATGCTGGATTACTTGCATTTTCTGGTCTCATTTCCTACATCTGCTCCCTGTCAGTGTGGGTTATTTTAAATTAATGGCTGTCTTCTGTAGGGTAGCAAAATTCTGGATTGAGTTTGTAGCATATTCAGGGATGTAGGGACAGGGGTGCTCTCAAAGTGGCATTTTGCTCCTTCTCTTGGTAAAGTATATTAAATTTACATAGAATTGTTACCTGATTATCTGACTTGGGAGCAAACTTTTAAAGGGGGTGACATCTTAAGTAAAACCATATTTCTTGATGTTGTGTTCATTTTTCCATGTAAGGGTGCTTGTTAGGAATGTATCGACCCAGTTTCAATAAATCACGTGCCTGGCATTTTTCTTTTGGTTTTGCTGATCAAACCAATGTGATAGTCTATTTAAGGCAGCATGTCTCAAGATTATAAAAAAACACGATGGCGATTTGCAAAAGCAGGTTGTCTTTGTATTTGTGACTGATGTTTTTGGCTCTCTGTTTCCCTAGGCATTCTTGCCAGCATTCGTGTACTCATTGAAGGTGTCTCCACTCATAGAGAAAATAAGTGATCACAAGGATTTTAAGAAGCTTCTCAGGACACGGAATAACGTACTGGTGCTGTATTCCAAATCTGGTAAGTCTTGTTTTGATGTTCCAGCTCTTTGTGCCCAGCAAGGTGTGTACCAAGGGGCTTCTGTGTGACTGCAAGGACTGGTGTCCTTTGTTTTAATTCAGAGGTTCCTGATGTTTCAAGATTGGAGTCATCTTAATTCGGCCTTCTAATTGTCAAATTGGCAAAAATGTACTTTATTCTGGCTTTGTCTCCAGAACCGGGTCCCTTGTAATGAGAGCTTTCTGGGGTGTTTATCACAGTAGTTTGCAAGTTTTGATTTCCTGGTGACACTGAAAGGCGTAATGAATACTTACAGTACTGAAATCAATCCATCTTTGCTTCTGACAGTTTTGAGTGTCCCATGGTTGTCTGTCAGCTTTAATTAAAAAAATATAAAAATAAAAAAGAACTGTTGTGTAAGATGGAAAATGACTCATTTCACATTATGCCACCTGTCCCCTTGAATCTTTTTGTTGGTTCCTCTGTCATTCAGGCTCACCTTTCTGGCTGTTACTAATCTGTTTGCTCTTCCTTTGCTCTGTTCTGCTCCTGCTGTACCTTTTCTCCTTTCTTGCCTTGTTTTTTTTGGTGGGGGTGTTTTGTGTAACACCATGTAAAATGAGGAAATTATCTTTAACCTCTATACACAAGTGCAGAATGCTTTTGTCAGTGTGTAAGTCATTGGACAGCAAGAAGTAAAATGTGTAATTAAGATGATTTTTCTTCATGCTGTATTGTTTTTGCTGCTTCCTTCTTTTTCCTGTAGGCAGACGGGACGAGATAATGCCTTGTTTGGGTGTTGGGTCCTCCTTTTCTGACCTTTTCTGTTGCAAAGGTCTTCTGTCAGTTAAGCACAGTGATGGTAGCATTGCTCTGGGTTCATAGTGTATCAAAGTGGAGCAGCATATGGTGACCAATGTCCTCCTCCCTCTGCCCCCCAGTATTAGAGAATTTTGCAGACAAGGATGTGTGCTGGAGTAATTAACTTTATTTCCTAAAGATATGCTTATTCTGAAACAGTTAAAATTATATACATGGCTTGTTTTTTTATTAAAATACTTCTGTTTTGCTATAGTGGGGAACTTTGAGCACTTGAACTTGGCCAAATGGTTTTGTAGTAACAGGTTCAAAGTGAAAATCATAAAAGAGTTTCTAATGCTTTTTGATTTTTGAAAGGAACACTTTAGATAAAAAGACGTCTGTATTATTCAGCTTCTTAAAGGGAAAATTTTCTTTTTACGCTTAATATTTTAAGTGGTGGTTGCTTTCATTTTTAGCAGCACAACTAGAACACTTCAGCTGTGACACTCATCTAATAAATGTTGCCCTATGGGCATTGTTCAAAAGCCATGTTATGGAGATTTCTTTTTTTCTGTTTTTGTTATTTAATTGGTTGGTTTTAGCAGTCTAAAGCATTGCATGCAGAGCTGACTGTGGAATTAATGTTTCTTCCTGGAACAGTGATCTTTGCACAATTAGAAATCTCTTTCCCAGCAGTCACCCAGAAAGAGGGGAGGGGAAAAAAGAGATGGGAATTTGGAGGTGTAATTTCAATCCCAGATATACATCCCCAGCTGTGATGAGGTGTTGGCTGGCCATACTGCTGGAACAAAGGCTTTACTTCCCAGCTGAGCAGCACTAGATGTCACTTTCTATTGCAATCAGAAAATTCATTGATTTTGGGAGGTGTCATAATTTGTGGGAGATATTTAGTTCTCCCAGCCAGCTGGGGGTCTACCAGAGGTACTCAGCTGCTGACTCTTCTGGGACAAGCTGAAGGCTTATTTTTAAAAGTGCATTTGTGAAACTGCTCCATTCTGAGTACATGCAAAGAATTCCCCCAGTTGTCTAAGTCCCTGTGTTGGTGAGGGGTGGCAGTTGCATGTTCTGGGTATTGGGGTATGAGAGTTTCTGGAGAGCTGACATGTGTGGGTTGGTGTCTCTGATCGCATCAGGCCCAAGCAAAGTCTGTCAAATACAAAGAGGTTGTTTCTGGCTCTGGAGTTTGTTGAAGCAAAAATAGTGAAGGTTTAGGGGTTGTTTGATGGGTTATCCTGCATGCTGGCTCTGCTTGTCTACTCTGACATCTACAGGCCCTCTCTTGTCTCAAATGCTGGAGACAAGATATTGGTCTACAAAAGTATTCTGTCTGTCCCAATATTGCCATTCTTACATTCAGTTACTTGAAGTAGTTGTGGAGATCTGGAAGTGGCTCTGGGTTTCTATTTTCTGTTTATTGAGGAAGGAAACAGTTCCTCTTAGATTTTTTTTGGGGGGAATGGATACTGATTTGTACTGTTATATTTTTCTCTCTTCTGTTTATTTTTAATACCATTTATAAGACTCTTTTGGAATGGTAGTGATTTGCAAAACCTACACATGTGGCATGGCATTATAAAAATCTCTGTTGGATATTTATAAAACAGCCAGTACTTGGAAGGACCTTTTCTGGGTACTGCTCATGACTGTTGGTTTGGGTATCTCCCAGGGTTATTATGAGGATAAAGTCTGTTATTTTCTGTGTATGGCTGGGGTAGAATTAGGGAGGCAGAGATGCTGAATGATTTGCCCTTACAGCTGATGAAAGTCCTAAATGAGATTGCTCTAATTAGCAGGCTGTGGTACAAACTGGTTCATGCCCAGGCACATGGAAGAAGGCAGTGTTGGGATGGAAGCTGCAGGAGAGGACACAGTATAGCTCTGTAAATGCAGCTCAGCGAGTGTGGCTGGAAATACCAATTTCAGTGTCTTGTTTAAGGGGGTAGAGGGAAGGAGCCCCCCAGCTTCAGCTGCAGACAGCTTTCCTTCTAGTTTACAAAAGATTTTACTGATCCCTGTTACTCATTCTTCAAACGAGACAAAATGTTCTTGGGGTGCTTTGGAGCATAGAAATGCTACAATGTGTTGTTGTGTGTAGAGTGGTAATGCTGCAATTAATTTAGTTTTGTTATTTTGTTTTGTCTTCCAGCCACTGCTGCTGAAAGCTCACTCAGATTACTGTCCAGCGTGGCCCAGGAGGTGAAAGGACGAGGCACTATAGGCTGGATAGACTGTGGGTATGTGTTGCACTCTTTTCCTTCTTATTGTCCCTTTCCCCTTTTGGCTTTTATTGCTAACTTAGCTTTTTTGATGGCTCTGAAACTTTTTGCCTTTAAGTGGACCCACATAATTCTGTGTAGTTTCTTCTATAGGGAGCTTATATCTTACCATCTTCTCTTCCTTTGACGAGTGGAGGGGAATAATTTTTTCCTTATGGCTGTTGTTACTTCTCTGACAGCATGTTTTTCAGCCTGAAGCTGAGACCCCAGCTAACACTGCCTTTCATAGAGGACACACAGGGTGCAAGCTTTTTTTCCACAAGCCAGGGGAGGAGGAATCTCACATGTTGTGCCTCAGCTGGAGGGCACTGTAATTCTGCTCTGACAGCAAGTGTTGTGTGAGCAGTAAGGCTGTTTGCTTGGTTTTAAAGCATCTACCCATTTGTGTTTCTCAATAAAATGTGCTTTCTTTTAAAGACCTTCTTCTGTGCTGGCATAAGTTCTGGCAATTTTTAATGTGAAGGCAGAGAAACTTGTTTTTGTAAGTGGTTGTGTGTGTGGGGAGGAATGAACAGGTGTGTACTTTCTGGTTTGCAGATGTGAAAATCTCCGCTGTGGTTCAACTCAATAACAGTTTGCTTGTGGTTTTAGCTTGTGTATTGTACTGCCTCTGCAGCTCTGAGACCTTTGCCGCCTACCTGTGTGTTTGGGTGGATTGCCATGGTATGAACAGATTGTACACTGTGCACAAATGTAACTCAGCTCGGCACATCGTGGCTCCCTTAAAATTACACTTTTGAAACTGACCCTCATCCATCAAACAGTGACCCAGACTAAGTCACTGGGAAATTGGAAGTTAACGTGAGTTTCTGATTATTAACCTGCCCTGCTCCCCCCCTGCCACCAGGCATGTATCTCCTGTGGAGGCCTCTGCCTCTGCCTTCTGTTTGCATTCTGCTGGGCTCATCCACCTGCACACACACTTTCATCTCTGCCCAACTGGTGGGGACAGAGCTCCAAGTCATCTGCTGGCAGAAAGCAGGGCTGTTCCTCAGAGGTCAGTGAAGCCTGCACCACTTGCCACCTGCTGAAAAGCCAGTGGATAGATTGTATTGACTCTGACAAGGTGAAGGTTGTGAGAAGATCTGGCATACCTCTGAAATCCATGAAAACCAGACTTCATTTCTAACAAAAGCACTGATAAGTAATTTTTTGTTGTCAACAATGAGGGCTAGCAAATAGGACACTGAGCCAGCCTCTTAGCCTCAGTTTCTAATCAGCTTCAGTTTCTGGTTATGAACTGCTTGCCACCTTTTCCTGTCTTTTGTTTTAGGCTACCTCTCTGTTGGGGGTCTTACTGTTTACTCTGTGTGTGTGTATGTGGTATATACAAATGCTGTATATACAAAGGCTGTTCAGCTGGTCCTTTAAAATGCTGCTGTAATATAACTAAACAAGAACTCTCTTCAGGATTTATTTTAGTTCTGGGTTGGAGAACGAAAGATTTGGTGTTTGGGACTTCAGTTTGAAATCCAGGGAAGTTTTGGTACTTAGTTCAACAGGTCAGTCTCCATTCCCGAGTTTGTAAGTAGTGGTGATGGGGAGGGAAATGTATTTTTTTTTCTGTAAAATAAACTTTAATTAATTAAATCCCCTAATATAGTCTCATTTTCCAAATGTTGACATCTAGACCAAATTTTGTTATGGAAGCTACTTGCAAAAAAATGTATTTTCAAGTCTCTCCCATGCTTTAATACTTTTCATAAGAAGCTTGGTACTTGCAGTGCCTTTCCTCTCACCATGAGGGGAAATGTTGAAAGGTGAGTTAATCTCAGACAGTGAAGCACCGTGGTGAAAGTCATGCTGTAAGGGATTGGGAGACTGAGAATAGATTGATAGGTTGCCAACATTTTCTTTGACAACAGTAATGCTACAATCAGATTAGCACTTCCCGAGTGGCAGGCAGTGACCAGGATGTTGTAACACGGCAATAGGTGTAATTCTCTCTTTGAGGGTAAAGCAGAGCTGTGTTTCATGCCTTGTTTAGGAAGAACCTGGAAAAAATAGCTGGGCATTTTTCAGAGATGGATGTCTATCCCTTCTATCACTCCAGCTAAGGGATAACCATAACAGGGTCTGTGAACTTGTTTCATAGGGCAAGGTGAGCTGGAAGACTGGCTTGTAGTAAAAGAGGTCTTGGTGGATGCAAAAAGAAGACCTAAACAAATAGTTTGAGCTTAAACCAAGTTTTGTGGTTGATTTGCTTGCTAAACTTTTGAAGCATTCTGAAATCAATCTGGTAGTGTTGAGGTAACTTTTAAACAATTCCTTTTTCATGAAAGGTTTTTTCCTTTGCTTATTGCTTTTAAAAAAATTGTGTACAGGCGGCTGCACCACCGTGCCCACCTTGCTGCAGTGACAATACCAGAGGCTGCAGTAGTGCTGTCTGCCCCAGGTCATGGGGGGCCAGTTGTAGGGCCTGGACAGCTGAGTCCCACCCGAGTGGCTCAAGCCATTCTCCTGCAGCAAATATGCTGGGAGGCTTATTTGCAAGTCTCCATGCTGAAACAAACAGCACACAGATGCAGGGATATTTACAGCACAGGCTCAATTTGTTTTACAAATACTGACAAGAAATGTCTTGTTTGGCAGCAATATTTAGCGGGAAATTTTGGCTTTGCTCTTCACATCCCGCTGTACTGGGCTTCTTTGCCTTCGGATCCAAGCGTTGGCAGGGCTGGCATACATGCAGAGTTGTGGTTTGTGCTTCTGCTTCCCTGTGGCGATGATGGCAGCCTTTTCTTTCCTCTTTCTTCACTGACGGTGCTTTTTTTGTTACTTGTCATTCTCCTTCCCCTCATTTTCAAGAGAAGGCAAGAACATTCTGCAGAGATCAGTGTGGATTGCTAAATCTCAGCAGCATGTTCTGTATTTGATGTGGTGGAGGGGAGTGTGCAGGTTTGTGGCTGGGATTGTGGCGTTCAGGACTTCCTGAATGCTGGTCTGCATGGAAACCGTGCTCCTTGGCCTTGGCTTCTGTTGTGTCTGTGGTTTAAAGCAGGGATTAGCTTTGAGCTTTCAGTTCCAGGTTGAGTGGTCTCGGGGAGAGAGGGAAGTCAGTTTTTCAGCATGATGTGGGGAAATACTTGGCTTCTTGCTGAGACAGTGTTCAGTAAAGGAGGTTGCCACTTACTTTGTCACTTGGAGGCAGGGTAGCAGAGATCCCCAGCGTGCTGGGCCTTGGGAAGTGTAGGGCTGGAAATGCCACACGCCTGCCTTTCCTGCACAGCTGGGTTCACTTGTGCCAAGTGCCGTGCTGGAGTGTGACCCCCCTGCATGTGGCACTGTAGATAAGGTCCTTGTTCCCGAGAGCTCAGTCCGTTCCTGCAGGCAGATCCACGTCTCCTCCTAGAGATGAAGGGGCAGCTCGAGAGCTGCTCCCAGCATTGAAGTGGTCACTGTTTGCTGCTGTGTGCTGAGATAGCATAGTGGCTCTGTACACTGTTAAACGTGAAGCTGTTTCAGTTGTGAATGAAAGACCCAGCACTGATGTGACAAAAATATGTTTTATTTTAGCCTTTACATGTTTTAATTAGGAAGTCTTTGCTGAGGCGTTTGACGTTGAATGAATGGTGGTGTGAGAGACAAGAGAATACTGAACTAATTATGCCTGATGAGATGCATGGTATTGGGGATGGAGCACAGCACTGCAGGCTGCTCAATCTTCAGTGTTCCAGAGAGATGGAGCAGGCACCTTGGGAACAAATGTTCTGGGGCTGGTGTCTGGGGACATGCCATGTTAATGGGAGCTGGGAGTCACAGCTTTTGTTCCTCACTCTGCTAATGAGTCACTTCTTGTTACTTTCTGCACTTACAAAAGGTGTATCTGTTTTCCAGGCAACTGGGTAAATATTGCCTGATTCATTAGTCAATGTTTATAAAGAGTGTGGAGAACTTTGAAAGGAAAAATGCTGCAGCAGCATGAATGGGTGCTCTGTAGGGCATTCAGGTGAAATTGGAATGGGCATGTAAGAAATCAGGAAGTTGGGCTGTTTATTGAATTATTTTTTAGTTGTAGGCTGATAGAAATTTGGAATATTGAAGGGCATCACAGGGAGTTGAAAGCTTAGGATATCTGCAAAAAAAGCACAAAATGACTTGATATTTTCTGTCTCAGAGACTGGCTGCTGCTAGCTCTGGTTGGGGTTTGTGCTGCAGAGCCTCTGCATCCCCCTGATCTCCCAAAACCTCAATTTTTTAAGTCCTGGTACAACTGGAGGTAAGTACTGATGTGGTCAAGTAAAAGAGGAGTTTTGTAAGAAATAGAACTCCTGTCGAATCCTTATGGTGACAAGTCAAAGGTACAAAGTGATGTGCCTGGGAACACAGTAAAATGGAATTACCCTTTGAGTGAAAGGCAAAGTTGTTACTGCTTGTATTTGAAGCAGACAAAGCTCTACTCTCAGTTTGCAATGTCCTGAGGTGTGGTTTTGAAGAATAGTCATTACAAAGTTATTCTCTAGCCTTCTTAAGTGAGTTTTGTGATAGACCACAGTATGGCCTAGGACTGATGTTACTTGGAAAAGTGTAACTAGTTTGGGTGACGTGGAAAAGAAGTAAAATGGCTTTGTTGACAAGACGAAAATGTGTTTGGCAGGTTGTTAAGCACATTATGGTCAGGTGCAGCTTTGAAGAGCTTGAAAGTAGCTCTCTCCATCATGAATATGATTTAGGGAACACTCCTCTCCTGGGTTTTCCAGTTACTGAATTGTTTCATGTTTTTATTGACTATAACTCCTGTGGATTGGTATTTTTTAAAAAAACACCAATTTCTTTGGCTCTGGGTAATTATTCTCTGCTCAAACTTGCATGGCTCCCTTTGCTGTAGGTCCCAAACATAAACAAAGCTGTGTGATTTCCATCTGCTGTCATAGCGCGTGTGCTTGGCTTTAGCACATCAGACTGCTAGGAAGAGGAAATGCCATCTGGTTAAAATGTCTGACTAATTTTTGTTTGGT